TTTTTAATCGTGCACAAGATCGTCCGATAGCACTTATATATCATTTTATATATACGGCTATAGTAACATTTTTTGTAAAAAAAAGTTTGTTGTTGTAGTACACACCCTAGAACGATGAAATCCGAAAAAAAATGTATGCCATCCGATTTCTACACTTCCAACTTAAAGTTCTATATAGGTTTTTATCGTGCACAAGATCGTCCGATAGCACTTATATATCATTTTATATATACGGCTATAGTAACATTTTTTGTAAAAAAAAGTTTGTTGTTGTAGTACACACCCTAGAACGATGAAATCCGGAAAAAAATGTATGCCATCCCATTTCTACACTTCCAACTTAAAGTTCTATATAGGTTTTTATCGTGCACATGATCGTCCGATAGCAGTTATATATCATTTTATATATACGGCTATATTAACATTTTTTGTAAAAAAAAAGTTTGTTGTTGTAGTACACACCCTAGAACGATGAAATCTGGAAAAAAATGTATGCCATCCGATTTCTACACTTCCAACTTAAAGTTCTATATAGGTTTTTATCGTGCACAAGATCGTCCGATAGCAGTTATATATCATTTTATATATACGGCTATAGTAACATTTTTTGTAAAAAAAAAGTTTGTTGTTGTAGTACACACCCTAGAACGATGAAATCCGGAAAAAAATGTATGCCATCCGATTTCTACACTTCAAACTTAAAGTTCTATATAGGTTTTTATCGTGCACAAGATCGTCCGATAGCAGTTATATATCATTTTATATATACGGCTATAGTAACATTTTTTAAAAAAAAAAGTTTGTTGTTGTAGTACACACCCTAGAACGATGAAATCTGGAAAAAAATGTATGCCATCCGATTTCTACACTTCCAACTTAAAGTTCTATATAGGTTTTTATCGTGCACAAGATCGTCCGATAGCAGTTATATATCATTTTATATATACGGCTATAGTAACATTTTTTGTAAAAAAAAAGTTTGTTGTTGTAGTACACACCCTAGAACGATGAAATCCGGAAAAAAATGTATGCCATCCGATTTCTACACTTCCAACTTAAAGTTCTATATAGGTTTTTAACGTGCACAAGATCGTCCGATAGCAGTTATATATCATTTTATATATACGGCTATAGTAACATTTTTTGTAAAAAAAAAGTTTGTTGTTGTAGTACACACCCTAGAACGATGAAATCCGGAAAAAAATGTATGCCATCCGATTTCTACACTTCCAACTTAAAGTTCTATATAGGTTTCTATCGTGCACAAGATCGTCCGATAGCACTTATATATCATTTTATATATACGGCTAGAGTAACATTTTTTGTAAAAAAAAAGTTTGTTGTTGTAGTACACACCCTAGAACGATGAAATCCGGAAAAAAATGTATGCCATCCGATTTCTACACTTCCAACTTAAAGTTCTATAAAGGTTTCTATCGTGCACAAGATCGTCCGATAGCACTTATATATCATTTTATATATACGGCTATAGTAACAGTTTTTGTAAAAAAAAGTTTGTTGTTGTAGTACACACCCTAGAACGATGAAATCCGAAAAAAAATGTATGCCATCCGATTTCTACACTTCCAACTTAAAGTTCTATATAGGTTTTTATCGTGCACAAAATCGTCCGATAGCAGTTATATATTATTTTATATATACGGCTATAGTAACATTTTTTGTAAAAAAAAGTTTGTTGTTGTAGTACACACCCTAGAACGATGAAATCTGGAAAAAAATGTATGCCATACGATTTCTACACTTCCAACTTAAAGTTCTATATAGGTTTTTATCGTGCACAAGATCGTCCGATAGCAGTTATATAGCAATTTATATATACTTCCATAATAACATTTTTTGTAAAAAAAAAGTTTGTTGTTGTAGTACACACCCTAGAACGATGAAATCCGGAAAAAAATGTATGCCATCCGATTTCTACACTTCCAACTTAAAGTTCTATATAGGTTTTTATCGTGCACAAGATCGTCCGATAGCACTTATATATCATTTTATATATACGGCCATAACATTTTTTGTAAAAAAAAAGTTTGTTGTTGTAGTACACACCCTAGAACGATGAAATCCGGAAAAAAATGTATGCCATCCGATTTCTACACTTCCAACTTAAAGTTCTATATAGGTTTTTATCGTGCACAAAATCGTCCGATAGCAGTTATATATTATTTTATATATACGGCTATAGTAACATTTTTTGTAAAAAAAAGTTTGTTGTTGTAGTACACACCCTAGAACGATGAAATCTGGAAAAAAATGTATGCCATACGATTTCTACACTTCCAACTTAAAGTTCTATATAGGTTTTTATCGTGCACAAGATCGTCCGATAGCAGTTATATAGCAATTTATATATACTTCCATAATAACATTTTTTGTAAAAAAAAAGTTTGTTGTTGTAGTACACACCCTAGAACGATGAAATCCGGAAAAAAATGTATGCCATCCGATTTCTACACTTCCAACTTAAAGTTCTATATAGGTTTTTATCGTGCACAAGATCGTCCGATAGCACTTATATATCATTTTATATATACGGCCATAACATTTTTTGTAAAAAAAAAGTTTGTTGTTGTAGTACACACCCTAGAACGATGAAATCCGGAAAAAAATGTATGCCATCCGATTTCTACACTTCCAACTTAAAGTTCTATATAGGTTTCTATCGTGCACAAGATCGTCCGATAGCACTTATATATCATTTTATATATACGGCTATAGTAACATTTTTAAAAAAAAAAAGTTTGTTGTTGTAGTACACACCCTAGAACGATGAAATCCGGAAAAAGATGTATGCCATCCGATTTCTACACTTCCAACTTAAAGTTCTATATAGGTTTTTATCGTGCACAAGATCGTCCGATAGCAGTTATATATCATTTTATATATACGGCTATAGTAACATTTTTTTAAAAAAAAAGTTTGTTGTTGTAGTACACACCCTAGAACGATGAAATCTACAAAAAAATGTATGCCATCTGTTTCCTACACTTCCAACTTAAAGTTCTATATAGGTTTTTATCGTGCGCAAGATCGTCCGATAGCAGTTATATATAATTTTATATATAATTTTATTTGTAAAAAAAAGTTTGTTGTTTTAGTACACACCCTAGAACGATGAAATCTGGAAAAAAATGTATGTCATCCGATGTCTACACTTCCAACTTAAAGTTCTATATAGGTTTTTATCGTGAACAAGATCGTCCGATAGCAGTTATATATAATTTTATATATACGGCCATAGTAACATTTTTTGTAAAAAAAAGTTTGTTGTTGTAGTACACACCCTAGAACGATGAAATCCGGAAAAAAATGTATGCCATCCGATTTCTACACTTCCAACTTAAAGTTCTATATAGGTTTTTATCGTGCACAAGATCGTCCGATAGCACTTATATATCATTTTATATATACGGCCATAGTAACATTTTTTGTAAAAAAAAAGTTTGTTGTTGTAGTACACACCCTAGAACGATGAAATCTGGAAAAAAATGTATGCCATCCGATTTCTACACTTCCAACTTAAAGTTCTATATAGGTTTTTATCGTGCACAAGATCGTCCGATAGCACTTATATATCATTTTATATATACGGCTATAGTAACATTTTTTGTAAAAAAAAAGTTTGTTGTTGTAGTACACGCCCTAGAACGATGAAATCCGGAAAAAAATGTATGCCATTTGATTTCTACACTTCCAACTTAAAGTTCTATATAGGTTTTTATCGTGCACAAGATCGTCCGATAGCACTTATATATCATTTTATATATACAACTATAATAACATTTTTTGTAAAAAAAAGTTTGTTGTTGTAGTACACACCCTAGAACGATGAAATCTGGAAAAAAATGTATGTCATCCGATTTCTACACTTCCAACTTAAAGTTCTATATAGGTTTTTATCGTGCACAAGATCGTCCGATAGCACTTATATATCATTTTATATATACGGCTATAGTAAAATTTTTTGAATGTTTTTTTATTAAAACGATATAATCCCAAATATATTTATATTTTATCAGATTTGTTCCTTTCCACATTTATATACATATTTTAATTGATCAAAAATATTTTTTTTAAAGTAAATTATGAAAATCAATTTTTTTGAATCTTTTCCACGTGCATAAACACATATTGAAAATGTAAATAATGAAAACGAGTTTTTGCGTCTTTTCCACGTGCAGAAACACATATTTGTAAACAAAAATAACTCACCACACCAAAAAAAATTTTTATTTTGATAAAACAGCTGTTACGGTTTGTTTTATTTTTCATCGGGTTGTTTTCTTTATGTGCGTCTTTTTTCGACTTATAGACTTTTTTCGACTTTTCGACTTTTATTAACAAAGTCGACTTTTCGACTTTTTTCACAGACGATAGTCGAGTTATCGACTTTTTTGGAACAAAATAGTCGACTTCGACTTTTTTCGACAAAAAGTCGATTGTTCGATTATTCGAAAGTCGATTTATAGAACCCTATTAATCACACACCCACTTCGACAATTTTAGGAATGTCAGAATACGTTCAGGTTGAACAGTTGATAGATCAGGAAAGTATGTCGACCCTATCGCCGGGTGTCAAATCGTTTCAAAGGCCAGGCAATTACACAGAAAATGAGTAATTATCTCCTCCTTTTCGTTTTGACAGCTCCTACAGAAGTCTTGTATGGTTTCCAAACTTGGAATGACCCGTAAGAACTGATAAAAGAGCACTCAGACTTAGTTATTCGAAACACGTACGCGTTAATTTGAACCCAAGTTGCTTATACAGAAGAATTGATTTAGTAACTAGTATCGATCCTTAATTCCAACGAATGTTTTGGGACAAGTTCTGATATATAAAAGCAAAATATTTTAGACAAAGAATATTATATGTACATATGTACTCTCTGGAGAAGTTGCTACCTCGTACAAGTTGCGATTTTAGAACACCTTTCTTCCTAGTGCCTTTAGTTAATAAAATCCAACCTATTCGATTAACTTACCTTTTTCACTTTGTAAAGCTTTAACCTTCCACGAGGGATTTGTTTCCTTAATAATCGTATGTTCTCGAACATCCGGATACGACATATAAACCGGTGGTGGTACAATTTGTGTCTGCATTTTGTTACTGACTTCTGAGGGCGTTATACTCGTTACGGGCTTCGGTGTTGACCAAGTTTGTACCGTTTGTGGTATATGAGCGGTATAAGGTACATTATTTAAAGAAATAAGAGATGATGAAGCACTGGACTGATGCGCAGGATATAGCAGAGTTTGATGTGTAGTCACTGATGATATGCCGTCATTATAGGGATTATTGTAAAGCAGAGCAGGATCTGTATTGTACGGGTGAGAGTGTGTTGCAGTAACACTTATGCCATAAACATTATTTAAATGTACATCCAAAGGATAATCACTGCTGTAGGCCACTGAGGTGGGAACATTTAAGGTGGAGGCAACATTCGTACTGACACCTAATTCTAATAGAACGGGTTTATCACTTTCATTATCGGTCTCATAGTTGGTACGCAGATCGTTTGCTGTACCGTCGGCATTTGTGGTGACAGGTTGTACTAAATGTGCATTGTTTGGTGGAAGGGTTTCATTGTGTAGAGTTGAGGCTTCTAAATGATCAGTCATGTTTTTAAATTTATTCACTTAAAATATTTTAATTAGTTTAATTTTTCTTATTATTCTATTAAATATTCAATATCACAATTTTATTTGCACTGTTTTAGTATTTTTTATAACCGTTTTGTTTATTTTTTAAATTATTTAAATTCCCGCCACTTGACCTGTTTAAGGTTCAATGTCTATTTGTGTAATAACTCTAACAGCAGCAACTTCAAAATATAACTTTCGTTTTCTTAACGTTGATCCTAAATATTTGTTTTATTTTTCTTTTCTTTCAATTCAAAACGTGCGTTAATAAAGTAGAGCTTAACTTCAATTTGTTTAATGATATATTCATTATGGATAAATACTACTAGAATGTATCAACGCAACAAGATCGATCACTCATTTTTACACTCAATTTTTTATTAAATTTTATCACTCATTTTCTTTAACACATCATTATTGAGCGTAAATACCTGAATAAGACTCTCTTGACATTCAAACTCAGGTGCAGTTTCTTTTTAATGTTTGAAACATAGATGAGGTAGATTGACAATATTATTATAATGTACTATAATTGTGTAACAAAAAATAGTCAGATTAGAAAAATTTTGTAAAACCATTAGAACAAAAAATGGACTTTTTCATAAATTTCTTTAAATCACATTTGTTTTACAGTGTTAAAGTTTTCCCTGCACAGGCGGTAGGTATATGGGGGTACGGTTAAGCCAGTTACGAACGTTAAAAGTATATTATAAATGTGATATTATATTCGGAATAGAGTCCCATATAAAGGAAACATATTAATACTATATCTGTAACATAAAAATTCATCAACATATTTAAAATAGCCGATTTATTAAATGACTTTTTAAGATAAAAACCACCCACAAAATACAGAACACTCAAACTGAGTGAAATGATAAAAGAGGGAATTTTCATGCTCTCAATTTTAAACCAATCGGCCTTTTACTACAACTAAAAAAATTGTTTTTTTCTTTGTAATTTTTTTTTTATTAATTACACTTGTTTACACGACTACTTCAGTTATTTATTTATTTCTATTGTTACATCAATTATTCATCCCAGAAAAAAGGGAATAAAAATAAGTAAGATAGCATAGCTCGACCATTTAATCCCCTACACCAGATTTGTGTACACAATTTAAAATGTGATTTCTTTTTTTTTAAATACAACATTTATATTGTATTTTACTTTAATTTGTTGAAAAACAATTGATTTTCTAAAAGAAACGTTATAAGGGTTCTAAAGTCACACATGGTCCGGTTCTCAGAAAAATGGTTTGTTACTAGATTTGCTCCATAGTCTAGTCTATAGTCTAGTCTATAGTCTAGTCCATAGTCTAGTCCATAGTCTAGTCTATAGTCTAGTCCATAGTCTAGTCTATAGTCTAGTCCATAGTCTAGTCTATAATCTAGTCTATAGTCTAGTCTATAGTCCAGTCTATAGTCTAGTCTTAGTCTAGTCTTAATCTAGTCTTAGTCTTAGTCTAGTCTTAGTCCAGTCTTAGTCTAGTCTATAGTCTAGTCTATAGTCTAGTCTATAGTCTAGTCTATAGTCTAGTCTATAGTCTAGTCTATAGTCTAGTCTATAGTCTAGTCTATAGTCTAGTCTATAGTCTAGTCTATAGTCTAGTCTATAGTCTAGTCTATAGTCTAGTCTATAGTCTAGTCTATAGTCTAGTCTATAGTCTAGTCTATAGTCTAGTCTATAGTCTAGTCTATAGTCTAGTCTATAGTCTAGTCTATAGTCTAGTCTATAGTCTAGTCTATAGTCTAGTCTATAGTCTATAGTCTAGTCTATAGTCTAGTCTATAGTCTAGTCTATAGTCTAGTCTATAGTCTAGTCTATAGTCTAGTCTATAGTCTAGTCTATAGTCTAGTCTATAGTCTAGTCTATAGTCTAGTCTATAGTCTAGTCTATAGTCTAGTCTATAGTCTAGTCTATAGTCTAGTATCTATAGTCTAGTCTATAGTCTAGTCTATAGTCTAGTCTATAGTCTAGTCTATAGTCTAGTCTATAGTCTAGTCTATAGTCTAGTCTATAGTCTAGTCTATAGTCTAGTCTATAGTCTAGTCTATAGTCTAGTCTATAGTCTAGTCTATAGTCTAGTCTATAGTAGTCTAGTCTATAGTCTAGTCTATAGTCTAGTCTATAGTCTAGTCTATAGTCTAGTCTATAGTCTAGTCTATAGTTAGTCATAGTCTAGTAGTCTAGTCTATAGGTCTAGTCTATAGTAGTCTATAGTCTAGTCTCTAGTCTAGTCTATAGTCTAGTCTATAGTCTAGTCTATAGTCTAGTCTATAGTCCAGTCTATAGTCTAGTCTAATGTATTCTATAGTCAAGTATATAGTATAGTCCATAGTGTAGTCTATAGTGTAGTCTACAGTGCAGTCTATCGTGTGGTCTATAGTCTAGTCTATAGTCTAGTCTATAGTCTAGTCTATAGTCTAGTCTATAGTCTAGTCTATAGTCTAGTCTATAGTCTAGTCTATAGTCTAGTCTATAGTCTAGTCTATAGTTAGTCTATAGTCTAGTCTATAGTCTAGTCTATAGTCTAGTCTATAGTCTAGTCTATAGTCTAGTCTATAGTCTAGTCTATAGTCTAGTCTATAGTCTAGTCTATAGTCTAGTCTATAGTCTAGTCTATAGTCTAGTCTATAGGTCTAGTCTATAGTCTAGTCTAGTATAGTCTCGTCTATAGTCTAGTCTATAGTCTAGTCTATAGTCTAGTCTATAGTCTAGTCTATAGTCTAGTCTATAGTCTAGTCTATAGTCTAGTCTATAGTCTAGTCTATAGTCTAGTCTATAGTCTAGTCTATAGTCTAGTCTATAGTCTAGGTCTATAGTCTAGGTCTATAGTCTAGTCTATAGTCTAGTCTATAGTCTAGTCTATAGTCTAGTCTATAGTCTAGTCTATAGTCTAGTCTATAGTCTAGTCTATAGTCATTCTATAGTCTAGTCTATAGTCTAGTCTATAGTCTAGTCTTATAGTCTAGTCTATAGTCTAGTCTATAGTCTAGTCTATAGTCTAGTCTATAGTCTAGTCTATAGTCTAGTCTATAGTCTAGTCTATAGTCTAGTCTATAGTCTAGTCTATAGTCTAGTCTATAGTCTAGTTATAGTCTAGTCTATAGTCTAGTCTATAGTCTAGTCTATAGTCTAGTCTATAGTCTAGTCTATAGTCTAGTCTATTAGTCTAGTCTATAGTCTAGTCTATAGTCTAGTCTATAGTCTAGTCTATAGTCTAGTCTATAGTCTAGTCTATAGTCAAGTCTATAGTCTAGTCTATAGTCTAGTCTATAGTCTAAGTCTATAGTCTAGTCTATAGTCTAGTCTAAGGTCTAGTCTATAGTCTAGTCTATAGTCTAGTCTAAGGTCTAGTCTATAGTCTAGTCTATAGTCTAGTCTATAGTCTAGTCTAAGGTCTAGTCTATAGTCTAGTCTATAGTCTAGTCTATAGTCTAGTCTATAGTTTTCCATGCGTGCTGTAGGGTATTAAAACAACCACCAATATTTTAAAAAAGAGATCAATACTTTACAAAGAAAGAGGACTAAATAGAGAAGAGTTAGATTGATAGAGTGACAAATGTCTTTAGATATGAGTTGGTGCAACTCAGACATGACTAAATAGAAAACAATTGCAACAGACGTGTGTCAATAACAATAAAACAAATGAAAATAATAAAAATAAAGTATTTTGCCACAGGTATTCCCTCAAACCAACAAGCAACAATAGGTGGCAAAGTAAATAATCGAATATCAAGTGAAGTGATGATGAGATGGTGATCATTATCATTATAGAAAAAAAAACAACAAAACAAAATTGATGTTCATATAATTTTGGACCTTTTATGCTCTTATTAATAGAGTGTGAAAATGGTCTTTTTTTTATAATTACAAATTATGATGACATTTTTTTTAATATTTTATTGATAATGAAATTAATCTTCTCGGTTTTATTTGTAAAAATAGATTTTATATTTCAAAATAATTTATTTATTCTTGAGTATTTAATATATTTTTTGTTTTTGATGTTCTTCTGTTTTTTGCTCCACCTCTCTTGATGTGGAATATTAATCGTATTTATCACAAAATACAAAAAATACAAATAAAGTCAACACAAGTGTTTTCCATTAATTGAAATTTTAGTATTTAAGATATGTATGGGGAATTTTAAAGAAACAATTGTGTCCAAACTTAAAGGTAGAAGAGGGCCATAATATGGATTTGTTGATTTGAAAAGTAATTATAAATTATGTTTTTTACTTATGTCAATAATCTATTTAAAGTCAATGACATTTATGATAAATGATTCATTTTCTAGTACACATTTTGAAATTAACGGTAGAATATTTTTTTCGCAGTTTAAGCACTCTACCTGTAGTTTAAAAAGTAGGCCTCAAAATTTATCAATGTTGCTGATTTTATTAATCTTGTAACATTTTTTTACAATTATCAAGTTTAATATTATTTTCAGCTTATTTTTCCAATAGCTATAAAAATACTTTTAACAGGAGGTTTTAAATTTCTAGTTTAAATAGTTTTTCGAGTTTAGCATAAACTTTAAGAAAATAACAATTTTACGACTTGTAGAAGTGTCATATTTTGCACTAAGAAAAACGTATATACATACATGAATGTAAATATTTATAATAAAATAAATATAGGTCTTTAGGTATTATACATTACATTGGTCAATGTAGTTTTGAATGGACAAGGTTATTTTTAAATTATTAAATAAATTGTTTAATATTCGTATTTCAAAAGCTAAACAATTACATTATAAACACGTTGGTCATTCATTAACAGCAATTATTAAAGTATTAATGGGGAATGTACAACAAATATTTAAATTTTATTATTAAAAAAAAAGTAATTAAAAATATGTTCACAATTACTAACATTTGAATAAAATCCATTTTGTATTAATTAACTATAACTTAGTGAAATTTTGTTATAATTTACATGAAAATCATGTTAATACTAAAAATATTTTTAATTTAATTATAATTTAAATTAGCAGTCAGTTACAATTCTAGTTTTCTTTTTCTATTTCCGTTTACTACACACATATTAATTTAATTGTGTTACCCTGTATTCCATAAGACTATTGCTCTCCGTCTTACTTATAGTTTTTCTTCTACTACAGCTATATATCTATCCCTTTCTATTCAGCAAATGTACAGAAAGCTAAATAAAATAACAGGGTTGTAAATTAATGTACTTAGTTAGGGAAAATAAACGTTAAGTTTAAATTAAATGCAGAATTTCAGACTAGTTACTCACGA